GGGCGCCTGGGTGGCTCAGTCAGTTGAGCGTCTGACTTCAGCTCAGGTCATAATCTCACGGTTCGTGCGTTCGGGCCCCACATCGGGCTCTGTGCTGACTGCCAGCTCGGGGCCTGGAGCCTGCTTCTAATTCTGTGTTTCCCTCTCTCTCTCTCTGACCCTCCCCTGCTCATGCTGTCTCTATCTCTCTCTCAAAAATAAATACAAACACTAAAAAATTAAAAAAAAAAAAAACTTTGCTACTCAAAGTGTGGTCCATGGCCCAGGAGCACTGGCATCATCTAAAAGCTTATTAGAAATGAAAAACCTAAGGGTCCATCCCAGACCTACTGAAACAGAGTCAGCATTTTAACAAGATCCCTTAGGCAAAAAGCACTGCTTTAAGCCACTCTGGTCCAGTTCCCTCTTATACTACCCATACTAAACAAAGACTGCCCCTCAAAATTGTCTTTCTCCTGAGGACTTCTGTGACCTTTACTTTCTCACTGACTCTCGGGCAAATTTACTGCCCCGGCTTAATCCTGCCCTATCCTAGAAAGGCAGCACAGTATGGTACTAAAGAGCACTGCCTTCCAAGTCAACACACTTGATTTGACTCCCCTGCTATTCACCATTTATAGGATCTCCTGAAATCATTAAGTCACTTCTCTAAGACTTCATCAATCACTAACTCTTGGGGTAAAGACCAAATGAAAGAATGCATGGAAAATGTTTAGCCCTTGAGAACTAAACACCCTAATGAAGTGCCTACTCATGCTAGCTTGAAAGTAAGGGAGACATTCCTGGAAAAAAAAAAATCTCCAGAGCTCACCTTACAAGACCATGTGAAGCCGACAAGGAAGGGGATTTGGATCTCCCCAGCACATTCCAAACATTAGTTGCCTTTGGCCATTTTTAATCAGAGAAGACATCTTTAATCAAAAGCACATTTGGGATCTGCTTGCTTCTGTGCAGCATTACTTCATGAAAGAAATGAACCTTTCAAGGTATTGGGACAAACTAAGTACATCATCAGGATCAAAAGAGTAACCAAAATAGCTACCATTTTCGAGTACTAGCCAATAGGTTTTATATAGTACCTTATTGTGTCTGCAACAACCCAGTAGAGGACAAGGTGATTAGCCTTCTAATCACAATGATAAAAGGAAAGTAGAAAACAGAATCCTAGGCAGGGAACATAATTAGAACTGGGTCATTTCACCTGGGGACAAGCAGGTTAAACATGACCGTTCCTCCCTCCATCCACAGAAACATTGTTGGAAATGCCCATCAGATACATGGAGTCTGAAACTAAAGTACAATGAAAGAAGTGTAACTGGTTGGTAACCATGGAGATCAAGTTTCCTGAGCTACTCAATGGAGCTGAGAATGATAGCCTGGGAGGGTCCATTAGTTTATGTCTATGTCCAGCCTATGTGCTATTGACCTGAAAGGCAAGTCACTGGGCAAGATGGTCCACATTTCCCCAGCCAGGACCCAGAACACCAGGCAAGATTTGGGAGACAATTCTGGGACTGAGAGGCACCTTTGCCAAAGAGGAGTTGATGGACAGCACTAGATCATGCCAAGGGCATTAACGACTCTCAGCACATTGTAAAAGTCACCATCTCTTTACAACTTGCCTCTCTATCTCCAAATGCAAGGATTGCCAAAGGGAGGGAACTAGAGGGGAGAATGAGGATCTCCATCCTTGGCTTCTGAAGCCAGAATTTCTCTTGGGGCAGTGGAAAGAACACCAGAGAATATCAATCCAAGATCTGCCCCTGACTCATGAGTATTTTGATTTCTTGTTCTATTAAATTAGTTTGATGGACTGAAAGATGTCTGTGTTCCCCTCTGGCTCTGCTTCTCTGATCTTTTCTACCATGGGAAGCCAGGGGAGCTATGGAGACCTCTTCCCAGGAGCTCTCCAAGATAAGAATAATCACACTTGTGTCTTGGATGCCCTGGACCCTGGATGAAGGGTTAAGCAACAGGATTCTTTCTTATACTAAGATGTGCTGTTTTTTACTTCCTCCTGCATAAAGTTAGGAAACCAGAAAGCCCTCAAATGACAGACAGAGGCCTCCTCTGACCCCCATATGAAGGAGGGCCTCCTCTCAGATATTATCTCTTACAACCCTGCTATGTACATGAAGTGTGTTCTGTGGACCAAGAGCCTCAGCATCACCTGAGAGTTTGTCAGAAATACAGACTTTGGGATCCAGCCAAACTCACTGAACCAGAATTTGCCTTTTAATCAGCTCTCCGGGTGATTCACATAATGCATTAAAGTTTGAGAAGGGTTATCTTGAAACACTCTCTTCCTTCATAGCCTTTGCCTCAACTCACAGTTCAATTATATATTTATGTGGATGTTTTAAGTGACTGCTTTAATGACTAAGCCATAAAGTTCACAGGATGTCTTCCAGTGACTAACGTAGTTCCTGGCACACACTAGATCAGGTGTTCATTCAACATGTGCTGAATGTGTGACTCTGGTATTTCCCGGACTACTTGTAGAGGCTGGAAATGGCCTCAATGATTCTACTGTGCCAGCCATCTCTCACTGTCCATGGATACTTTCCTGGATGGCCAACAAATTCAACTATCTCAGTATTGCATTTCAACGTAGGTGTTTTCCTTTGTGCATCTGCACATCACACTAATTGGTGAACATACTTGGTAATAAATTAGCTGTTCATTAGATTTCGAAATGTTATTTGCAACCCTGCAGAGACAACACAGAGGGGAATTTTGTGATGTCAGGTTTTCCTATGAACTGCATGCGTAATTTATGAGAGACCACAAATGTACTATTGTTACTTAGGTTAAGAGCTTTCAACTAAAGCACTAAAGTCACAGATTAATAGAGCCGAGAGGAAAGGATCTTCCAGGCCAAGTTCACTTCCTTTGCCCTGGAAAGCTGAAGCCCAGAAGTTTATACTGACTTCTGTCATCTCCAGACGAGGGCTAGGCCAGGGCTTTGCCTTCAGGAGACTCCCTCCACTCACTACGACCCACTTGGACTGGAGAAGAGATCCATTTATCAGAAGATGAACCATCAGTGGAAGGCAAAGGATAGAGCCTCCAGGGAAGTGATGGAATAAAAGGGAAACTCCAGAAAGTCCTAGTTGTTCAGACAGAACACTAAGAAAGTAAGATGTGCACAGCTGCTAACTTCTTGCTCTGGACAAGGTTGGGGAGTTATTTCCCCATGTCAATGTCACACCTCTGTAGGTCTTTGTTAATATTTTAATCCAGTACTACAGGAGACCCCCACCTGGACAGGTCAAAAGAGAAATAAGATACCTTATTCCTTCTTGACAAGACACCTGAGGTGCGGCTCTGTGGGTGAGGGGGGCGGGGAGGGAGACTAGGGTAGGAATGTCAGACTCTAAGGAATGTATTAGGAGTGAAAAACTGCCCATCTGCTTCTTTTGCCTGCTTGCTTAGAGCACCCCAACAAGACCTCCTTATCATTCCCTCCAATCCTCAGCACATAGGACCTCCCCTTGAGAAGACAATCAGTCTGCCTCTATCAACCTCTTACTTACTGTATAAATATTTATGTATATATTTATGTTTATTATAGAGTAAATAATACAAAATATAATGTGAATGTATAAATATATAATATTCCTTTGTGTTTGTTTATTTTATATCATTATCAATATTTGGATAATCATATCTAAATTTTTTTTATTTTTGTTTTGTTTTGTTTTGTTTTTTTACAAATAGTTTATTGTCAAATTAGTTTCCACATAACACTCAGTGCTCATCCCCACAAGTGTCCTCCTCCATGCCCATCCCTCCCTCCCCCCCACATCCATCAGTCCTCAGTTTTTGTCAGCATTCAAGAGTCTCTCATGGTTTGCCTCTCTCCCTTTCCCCCACCATTTCCGCCCTTCTTCTCCCCCTTGTTCCTCCATCATGTTCCTCCTAATCCTCCTATACGTGCAGACATATGATATTTGTCCTTCTCTGCCTGATTTAGTTCGCTCAGCATAACACCCTCAAGGTCCATCCATGTTGCTACACATGGCCAGATTTCATTGTTTCTCATTGCCACGTAGTATTCCATGGTATAGATAAACCACATCTTCTTGATCCATTCATCTGTTGATGGACACTTAGGCTCTTTCCATGTTTTAGCTATTGTGGAGAGTGCTGCTATGAACTTTGGGGTACACGTGCTCCTATGCCTCAGCATTTCTGTATCCCTTGGGTAAATTCCTAGCAGTGCTATTGCTGGGTCATAGGGGAGTTCTATTGTTAGTTTCCTGAGGAACCTCCACACTGTTTTCCAGAGGGGCTGTACCAGTTTACATTCCCACCAACAGTTAATCATATCTAAATTTATATATAAATTATATAATATGTAATTATATTATATATAAATCATATATAAATTTATAATATAGTCATGAGGGCAGGAACCCAATTTAATTATTTATGGTAGTGTCACAATGCTTGGTGTACAAACATTCAATTAATTCAGAATTTCCAACCACAGGAAATGTGTGTAGAAGAGATGTACCTTCCCAGGTATGTTTACAGCATACTTTCACTATGTGATGAATCAAATATGGAAAAAAAACCCACATGTATTTATACATTAGACTTGCTTGTTCTTTTGTTGACCAAAGGGGGGAAAAATCAAATGCGGAGGCGAAAACAAAAGCCCTGGACAGGGCGGTGAGTTGTCGATTCTGGTACCTGAGCTGCCATAAACTTCTCATTTTACCTTGCTCAGCTCTGACTTCCTCACCCGTGAAACATGGACCTTAAACACTGGCCTCACCTTGCATTTCTGGTAGGCAAGCTATCAAGCAAATGGATGAGAAAACCTGATGTAAACTAGGCCCGTGAGTTTATTTTTTTCTTAACTTAAGAGTCAAGTGGAACACAGATTCTAAATTGCACAGCACTTTGAAGACCAGAACGGAAAAGAAAAAGATGAGTTCTTTCCGTTGGATGACACTCTCACACTGCCTCCCTCTTTCTTTCTTCTCTTCCAGGATTCCATCCCCAACCCACCAGGAAAATTCCCCCTTAAAGGAGGTAAGACCTTGGAATTAGGAGTAAATGTGTAGTGAATCATCCATGTGGCATCATAGCGGAGTAACAACCAGAAGCATCATGACATTGCCCCACAGAAAAGTGGGTGGAGGCGAAGGGGGAGGCTGCTCAGATCTGAGCTGGTACATCTGGATTCATCCGAGCAGCCTCTTTTTGGCACTCTGGCGCCTACAGCTCTCCCACTAATGAAAACTCTACCAGTGACATAGACTATCACGTGGACATGGGTAGGAATGCTAAGCAGTGTTGTGTTACGAGCTTGACATCTGGAGTCAGGCGGGTATGAATCTTGGCTCGACATCTCACCTGGGAGCCTCAACTTTTCATCTATAAAATGGGAATAATAATACCTGTCTCATGAAAGTTTTGGGAAAGCCAATCAGATCTCATCCGAACATTGCTTGGGGTGGCCACTGGCATATAGTAATCGTTAAATAACTGGTAGTAGTCAAAATACACAATGAGGGTAGGATAGTAAAAACAGACTTCCTCCTCACCTCATATGTTTCCTATCATTGAAGTCACTAATTAATTCACTATCTCTACGAGTCCCAGAGTTAGCTTAACATTGAGGATGAAAAGCTTTGAGTTCATCTGGCGAATATTTTCCTTGCACAGAAGAGGAAAAGTAAGACCTAGTGAGGTGTCATATCCAAGGTCGTATGGAGCCAGACCCAGAACCCAGGTGTCCTCGTCTCTCATCCAATGTTTTTTCCACCCCAGAACATGAACCCGTCTCAGTCCTCTAAACTCTAGATCCTAAGTAGCAAGCACAGCTGGATAACCAGACAGCTCAGAGAAAAAAAGTGAAAGATAAAGGGTGGGACAGCATAGGCATCCAACTAGAGACACCAGGGCACCTGTGGGACCAGAGAACACAAGTGTCTGAATGCAGCCCCACATCCCAACACTATCCCACTAGGAGTTTTGTTCAGGATGCATCAGTAATGCCTTCTTTCTATCTGCCACACAGACATTCAGATAGTAGAAGCAAAAGCCCCAAACAGACAAGCATTCTGGACCTTTCAAGGAAGACTAATAATGACAGCTTTGCCAACAGTATGTTAAACTTGGCCAGAATTGCTCCCATAATGCCTCTGTAGTGCAGAAGCAGCCACAGGCCATGCAAATGAGCAGGCAGAGCTGTGGGGCCATAAAACTTTATTTACAGAATGAGATCCCAGAGTTTGGGACCCTGTTATGGAAACAGCACAGGCTTTGCCATCAGAGCATGTAACGCACGTTCTCACGGAGCCTTGCAAAAACACCAGACACACTGACTCAGTGTCATTTTTCCTTCTCTGCTCCCACCACAGCATCTACCCGGATCCTCCAAAGAAGACCAGAACTTCTCATTTCTTAAGAGACAGAGGTCATCTGTAACAGGAACATGATTCAATGACAAGGATAGTGTTGATTAGGCAATGGGACCTCAGCCATTCTGGATCTTGGTTTTTGTGCCTGTAGAGCACTGCAGCCACGGGGTTGCTGACCCCAGGGGGCTCTAACCATGGGTTTTGTCCCTATTATGGTTTTCACCAGTCCAGAGTGAAATAGGAAAAAGAAGAATGAGGTAGCCCCTTTTTCTCATAGCCAACTATTTTTAATGTAAGGGGCACTCTTTTTCTCTGAGAGTACATCCTTCCCTAAAGCATTAAAATGTCCTTTCTTAAACAATATGAAGCTCATATGGATGCAAGTTAAGTTGAGTTATTTTGTCTTGGTTTAGTGGTCATAATTGACAAAAGCTGTCTACTCTATTTTGGTCACTGAATTTTCATTTGGGGTAAATTTCTTTGGTCCATGAACCCCAAAACTGTGGGAGCCATGGACTAGGTCCCTTATCAAATCCCTTCTTATCTTGGCCGTCCCTGTTTCAGAATATACACTAATCCAAAATCACCCTCAGTTGGCAATTCCATGTTTCTGCAACCAGATTTTAGAAATGTTAATAATAATCCTTATCAGGGCTATGAAACTTTTGTTAAAGATCTTCCCATGCCTCCCCTGGGTTGATCTTAGCCTCAAGCCTGTGAGCAAACCACACGGGGGTTAGTATTTCTATATTGCAGGTAAGAAACTGATGTCCAAGCCATCAAGGTGACTCGCCTAAGGTCATCCAGGGAGCTGATGGCAGAGCAGGGATCAGAATCCAGGGATCCTCTCTGTTCCCTGCATGGTGTGCTTCAGGCATGAAATGTTAGTGACCAGGTACGCATCGTCCCTGACTGTCTCCTACTTGTAATGCACATCCACCTTTCTCTTCACTTGGCAAACTGTAGACACAGTAGCAGGGTGAGGTGGAAGGTGTATTACCATGGAGCAAGACGTGGGATCCAGAACTGATTTTCATCCCAGCAGGCTGTGTGTCTCTGGGCAAGTCTGTTCTCCTCTCTGGACCTCATCTGTAACATAACAATGTGCTAAAATGAAATGAAAGGGAGCTTCCAGCTCTGACACTTCATGATGCTCTGATTCAGTATATAAATATGTAGAAAAAAAGTCTAACAATGATCTTGAGGAAATCTGTAGCCAGAGCCTCCTATCTCCAGTAAGCCCCTCTTAAAAGATACAAGCAGCTCATTCCTCCTTTTAAAAAGCCATTGCAAGATATCTGGCAGAGGGGAGCCATCTCCCAGAACCCCGTAGGAGGAAGCTCCAGAGGTGGCATATGGTTTGTCACTGGGGTGGACAAAGGCTGAAGCCAGACGCTTTCCAGAAAGCTCTCTGCCCACTAATGCACATCATACATCAGGAGCAGGAAGCCGGCAGCAGCCCAGTGCCTGGGAAGCAGGGCTAAGATACCTTAACACAGAGGGACACTTAGCTGCAGATTAACCATAGGAAATCGAGCCTTTTTGTAATGAAAGGATTTCTGAGTCCCAACACAAGCTTCCCATTCCAGCCAGGATACTGGTCACCAGCAGAGTTCTGCCTCATACTCATCCCGCTGTGCTTAGGACACAGCGGACTATTCTGTGAGGTCGCAGGGACTGTGGGCCGGGAAGAGCACAGGAAGGAGAACCTTGGCCCACATCCTTCTCCTCTCACCTAGAAAATAGAGTTAATAAGAACCCACACACAGAGCCACCACAAGGGTGACATGGGACAGCAAATATGACCCTCGTCTGCTCCCCGGCTGAGCCTATGTCCTTTGGACACAGAGTCCACTATGTTCTTTCATCCCCAAATAAAATGTCTCTGTCCCATCTCACTAGGGTGAGGAACCCAGGTAGGGCTCTCCCCAGAGAGCTTCTGGGGCTTCTGGGCTTCTTCTTCTCATTTCTTGTTCCAAGTGTCTGCTTCTGCCACATTCTGAATCTCGCACATGCTCATGTTATGTGGCATATTTGCCCAAATCACAGAACACAGGCATCTTTGCCTTGAGTTCCAACAGCACCCCACCTTTGTGGATAGTTAGGTTTGCCGGACCATCTGGGGTACGGAGAGAAGACGGTGGGGCAGTGCTTTCCGTCACAGAGACGACTTAAATTGAGTACTAGATCCCTCTGTTGTTGTAAGACTTCTGCCACCCCAGCCCCTGGGAATTTCTCAAGGGACAGCTCTCCCCCTGGGGTTCAGCCCTCCACCCCCTGCGTCTAGTTCTCTCTCCTTCTACCTGATTTTTCCTCCCTGTTTTCACTCCCACCTTCTCCCCTTCTCCTCACAAACTCTGTCTTTATTTTATGCATGTTTTTGGCCACCTCGGGGTCAGCCACAGGCTTTCCCAACAACCCAACAAATACGTGACCATTCTTCTCAAACCACAGAAATTCTGTAGACAACTTTTCAACCAGTTTTTCTTTTATTCCCTCACTACATTCATAGGAGGCTCAGGCAGAGTGAAAACTGTGGACACTGACGGGGCACCCACCTTGTGCCAAGCATGGGGCTGAGTGCTTCGACACTGGGAAGTTCTCACAACATGCCCCAAGGATATTACTCTCCCTGTTTTATAGGGACGGAATCTGGAGCACAGAGGGGTTTACTCACTTGCCTAAGATTGCACAGCTAGTGAGGAGTAGAGCAAGACCTCAAAATCCAGGCTGCCTTGCCTTGCGCTTTTGCTTATCCAAGATTACATTGCCAGATGCTTAGTAAAACTTCACTGTGCTTCCTGCCGGCACCCCTACCAGTTCTCCAAGGCTGGGCTCCCTTCCAACACGATGGCTTCCTCATCACCTGTTCCCACAGCTGTTTGTTTTCTTGTTATGGGGCTCTGGAGCTGTGGGGGGCTAAAAGAGCCCATGGCAGGGAATCTAGAAGCCAAATTGAACCCCTAGCTTTGCAGCTGAAGTGATATGAGGCCCTAACTAGTTAGAGTTAGGGTTCTAACTAACCCTCTACTTAGAAGAAGTTGGCCTTTCCTGTGAGTGTCATGGGGGCCCCTCATATCCAGAGATTCCTAGTGGCCCTGAGGAAGGGGAAACAGTGGATATACCATATGTGGGTCCAGACAGCCCCTTTAGTGCCTTCCCCACCCTCATCTGAATACCATCTCCTGAATCCCGCCCCCAGCTGGAGATGGGGCAAAGACAGAGAAGGGGGTTGCACTTTGGAATATGCACATTCCTGTCCCAGGACTTGAAGCAACACACTTTCCCTCCAGGGAGCTGGAGTTTCCTGTTGTCTAAAATATCAGGAATGAGGGGAGAGAGCCAGATGACCTGACTCTGGCATGGATTTTGCTTTGAGTGTGACATTCCTGGAATTAGACAAATTGACGATTTTACCATCCTAACAATTTACGAGTTTTACATGGCTTGGCACACTACCTTCCTCCCCATTCCCTTTGCTAAAGAGAAAATGTGGGCATTAAAAAGGATCAAGCAGGTTTGGCTTTTTAACTGTACCTCGTGAACCCACCCGCAAAGAGACAATAAAAGCCTCCCATTGGAGGCAATGAAACCAAACCACTGAGGCTGGCTACTCACCCATCCCCCACCCCCACCCCCAGCTGTCCCTGATGCCATATGGCTATC